TCGTGGTACACACACACACACACACACACACACATTTATAAATACATTTCTTTAGATTATTTCAATCGTGGTAAGCACACATACACACATTTATATATAAATTTCCTTAGATTATTTCAATCGTGGTATACACACACACATTTATAAATACATTTCCTTAGATTATTTCAATCGTGGTATACACACACATTTATAAATACATTTCCTTAGATTATTTCAATCGTGGTAAGCACACACTCATTTATAAATATATTTCCTTAGATTATTTCAATCGTGTACACAAACACATTTATATATACATTTCCTTGGATTATTTCAATCTTGGTACACACACACATTTATAAATACATTTCCTTAGATTATTTCAATCGTGGTATACACACACACATTTATAAATACATTTCCTTACATTATTTCAATCGTGTACATACACACATTTATAAATACATTTCCTTGGATTATTTCAATCGTGGTAAGCACACACTCATTTATAAATAAATTTCCTTAGATTATTTCAATCGTGTACACAAACACATTTATATATACATTTCCTTGGATTATTTCAATCGTGGTACACACACACATTTATAAATACATTTCCTTAGATTATTTCAATCGTGGTACACACACACATTTATAAATACATTTCCTTAGATTTTTTCAATCGTGTACACACACACATTTATAAATACATTTCCTTGGATTATTTCAATCGTGTACACACACACCCATTTATAAATAAATCTCCTTACATTATTTCAATCGTGGTACACACACACACACATATTTATAAATACATTTCCTTAGATTATTTCAATCATGGTTCACACACACACACACACACACACACACACATTTATATATAAAATTCCTTAAAATATTTATATTGTGGCACACACGAACACACACTAACACACACATAGAGTGGTATCTTGCTCTAAGTCCTCAATGCGCTCCAGAACTCTGGATGTAAACCCATTTTCTATAAGAAAAGGGAGAATGATTAATCCGTTCCTATGGGGAGGGTGGGGATAGGGTGGGTGGAGATAGGGAGGGTAGGGATAGGGAGGGTGGGGATAGGGAGGGTGGAGATAGGGAGGGTAGGGATAGGGATAGAGGAGGGGTCCCTATTGTTATTGACATGTGACACACTGATCGGTTTGCATAAACAATGAAAAGACTGCTGGATACTAAAAAAAAAAAAAACAATACAATAGTACTTCCTGAGAAGGAAGGAGAAAGAGATGTTTTGTTTGGAAGTAGAGTCGGGTGCCTGCGAGGATGGTGTGCTGAGAAGGAAGGAGAAAGAGATATTTTGTTTGGAAGTAGAGTCGGGTGCCTGCTAGGATGGTGTGCTAAGAAGGAAGGAGAAAGAGATGTTTTGTTTGGAAGTAGAGTCAGGTGCCTAGTAGAGTCGGGTGCCTGGTAGGATGGTGTGCTGAGAAGGAAGGAGAAAGAGATGTTTTGTTTGGAAGTAGAGTCGGGTGCCTGGTAGGATGGTGTGCTGAGAAGGGAGGAGAAAGAGATGTTTTGTTTGGAAGTAGAGTCGGGTGCCTGCTAGGATGGTGTGCTGAGAAGGAAGGAGAAAGAGATGTTTTGTTTGGAAGTAGAGTCGGGTACCTGGTAGGATGGTGTGCTGAGAAGGAAGGAGAAAGAGATGTTTTGTTTGGAAGTAGAGTCGGGTGCCTGCTAGGATGGTGTGCTGAGAAGGGAGGAGAAAGAGATGTTTTGTTTGGAAGTAGAGTCGGGTGCCTGCTAGGATGGTGTGCTGAGAAGGGAGGAGAAAGAGATGTTTTGTTTGGAAGTAGAGTCGGGTGCCTGCGAGGATGGTGTGCTGAGAAGGAAGGAGAAGAGATGTTTTGTTTGGAAGTAGTCTTTTTCTAGTAAACCTCAATGCAGCTTGCCTATTGTCACTCACTCACTCACTCACTCACACACTCACTCACACACCCAATCACTCACTTACTCGTTTACTCACTCACACACACAAACACACACATACACACACATATATCTTTACTAGATGCTTACTAACTCCATAAGCACTTAATATTTTCAAAATTAGATGACCCCATAGTATGTAAAGCTACATAGGCTAACATTAACACAGTCGGGACTAATTAGCATTAAAGTTTAGGCAAAGACAATGACAGATGACGAAAACCAAAAAGAGAAAGAAAGAAACTAAAAGAATACACAAAGCAGAGAGCGCGACAAAGAAACAGACAGAAAGATGCTGGGATAGACAAACATTACGATAGACAACCAGTTATGGAAAGCAAACAAAGCGAAATGTGGAAACGCAATTAGTTCTAGTCCATGTTTTTTACATCATAAGCAGACATTCTGTCAAGTGCGAACCTAATTTATAATAAATGTGCAAAAAACAGAGGTCTGTTTTTAAAAGTGGAAACATGGATTTCTCTGTTTTCCTCCCCTCCAGCCAGTCTTGTTTTATTTTGTGAAAGAGAGGCGTGGAGGGGAAGCTAGATGTGTTTGGTTTTCTGACGGGTGTCCTGATCAATTACCAAATATGTGGAGCATTTTTATTTCTTTATCGAAATCGTGTTTTTCTTTTTCTTCTTCTCCTTCTTCTTCTTCTTCCTATTATTATTATTATTATTTTTCTTCTCCGTCTTCTTCTTCTTCTTCTTCTTTTTCTTCTTCTTCTTCTTCTTCTCCGTCTTCTTCTTCTTCTTCTTCTTCTTCTTCTTCTTCTTCTTCTTCTTCTTCTTCTTCTTCTTCTTCTTCTTCCTTCTCCTCTGCTGCTGCTGATTCACCTCCTCTTCTAAAGACCGTGCCTGCTAGTGAAGCACTGAACATATGTTGCTAGACTTCTATCACCTTGGACCAATCGCCAATTGCATGAGTGATGTTGTAGACTTTACTTTCTAATATATTTCCTAGTACTCATTTTATGCCGGCTCGACATGCGAGCCACAGTTATTATTTTCTCAAAAATCAATCCAGCGTGGAATCGAACCCAATACCTTCATCTAGTTTCCATGCCACCGCCCCTCCCAGATTATAAGATGAAGCAGTACACAGTGACGACCCAAACATCAGTCTTGCATGTGCATCTCAGAGAACCAGTGACTCCTGTCTAGAGAGCGTGGTATATGTGTGTGTACAGCTGGGCCTGTCATTAACATCCTTATGAAAGTAGGCGGTAGAGTGCCCTGGCTGTTCAGCAGAGCAGCTCTTTGAAGTTATCCCAGGAGGTGTGCTCAAATAATGAGGCACAAATTACTGCACTGCCGAAGGCATTATCACACCTGAAGATTTTTTTTGACCCAATTTCATTTGAGGACCAGAACACTATATTCACTGATTCAGTTTCCAGAAAAGGGTTCCGAGGAACGCAGATATCGCAGTCTAGCTGTGTGCACAATACAACATACAAGGTGCAAACTGACCCGTGAATGGTGAACGCAGAGGAAGAGGAGGAGGAAGAAGAAGAAGAAAAAGAAGAAGAAAAAGAAGAAGAAGAAGAAAAAGAAGAAGAAGAAGAAGAAGAAGAAAAAGAAGAGGAAGAAAGTGCTTTCTATATAAGTTTTTTTGCGAATGTATCGATGTACAATGAGCCCATGATAGTGTAAATCTTCTATGTAACAGTTAACGTGTATCTGTATAAGTGTCTATCAATGCAAATGTATGTATAACAGTGTGTAAGTATCTATGTAAGTGTGCACTTATATAAGTATTTATCTAAGCCAGTAAGTATCTATATAAGTCTGTATTTATGTATATGTGTATTTATGAATACGTTTACATGTAAGTGTGTATATCGATGTACGTGTGTATCTGTGTAAGCATCTCCCACTCATAAAAACACATCACCCATCTGCCAAGCCCACCTGTCCTCTATTCTGGTCGCCAGACCCATGTTGGCACCAATCAATCCCCAATGTTGTATAAAAGTTACAATTCTGTTACCGGAAATTGGATTAAACGACTACAGTAATTGAGCAGTCTCCCATGCAGTCGGTAATTTCTCTTCCGCCCGTCTGCTACTATCTGTTATTAAGCAGAACAGCCAGGGTCCACATCACATCTCCTCGGTAACAGAATTGTAACTTTTATACAACGGCCAAAACAAAATTACTACCGGCTGCTGTAATCTAGCTTCAAGCCTAGTGAAGAGGTAGACCCCTATTGCTGTTTGGCATAAAAATCGGTTGGTTTGCCCATCTCCGTCTTTTCAGACGATAAGGTAAAATTATGTTTATAGACAGGAACAAGAATCACAGTCTATTTCTTCTTTGTTCACCGGCTGTAAGCTCCCGAAGGAAAGTCTTGGTTTTTCGTCCATTTAGACTTTGGTTTTGTGCCAGAGCCTGCGTTTTGAGTGTACATCCGTTTTACTGACTTTTGTGTGTGCAGTTGGTTGTAACTTGAATTGAAGCTCGTGCAGAGGCACTCCGACTTCGAAGGAAGTCCCTAATTAGTCGACTACTACACGATGCATTTTGGGGAGGCAGTGGGTCTATTCTTGTTTTCCACTACAATGGGGTCCCGGAACCCACACGGGGATCAGCCTATTTAAGATCAGGAATGAAGTCCCTGCTGCACGCGTACACACACACACACACACACACACACACACACACACAGAGCGTAGGCAGCATTGTAGAGACCGTGTGTTGCAATGGCATAAAATATATGGACATTAGTTCAGCTTTTATTGACTGTATGTGGTTTTACTAGAACATTCGATGTTCAGTAGTCTGCCATTGCTCATAGACAGAGTCTGTAAAGGTATCTTAGGATGGTTGCTGTTTTAGAGGACTAAGCATGCACAGAAATACCCAAACTTCAGTGGCTTCGTTTATAGATAATATAACAGAGCATCTAACAAAACAAAACGTCTATGTGTATATATATATATATATATATATATATATATATATATATATATATATATATATATATATATATATATATATATATATATACACACTTAACATAACATAACGTCTACATGCACATATAAGACTCACCTCTGTCGATGGCCACAAATGTCAGAACATACATTGGCACCGTCTCCCTGTCTAGTGTCTTCAGCACAGATATCTCCCCAGTGACGCTGTTGGCTTCGAACATGTTGGTGTTGTTGATGTCTCTCAGGCTGTACTGGACCATCCCGTTGTCCCCCGAATCTTCGTCCCGGGCAGTGATGGTCATCACGGGTACTGGCCCATCTCTCATGCCCTCTTGGACAAAAGCGTTATAGGGCGAGTCGTCAAACACCGGCACAAAATCGTTGACATCCATCACGGAAACCACAACTGTTGCGTTTGTGTGAAGGGGCTTTTCTACAGAGCTATCCTCAGCCTGAACCAGGATCGTATAGGACTTCTTCCGTTCGTAATCCAGAGGCTTCTGCACACGAAGAACACCGCTGGACATGTCTAGATGGAAGTCATGACTGCCCTCTCCGCCGATGATGAAGTACCTGACAGCACCGTTTAGACTTTTATCCAGATCAGTGGCATGGATACGCATCAAGCTGTGGCCCACCTCAACGTCCTCGGCTACAGTCGCGTTGTACTGGCTCTGTGTGAACACCGGGGCATTATCATTGGCGTCGGTTATCAGTATGGTCAAATTCTGGTGGGCAGATTTTGGAGACGACCCTCCATCTCTAGCTTCGATCGCCAGTGTGTAGTTAGACACTTTCTCTCTGTCCAGTTCTGAGGTCAGAACAAGAGCGCCCGACCTGGTGTTGATGGAGAAGACACTGGCGGGCGAGAGGAACCTGAAGGAGATTTGGCTGTTGGCACCTTCGTCTAAATCTTCTACTATGACTGTGTAGACTGTTGACTCTACCTTGGCGTTTTCGCTGATCTCAACCAGTGTCGGACTGACAAACACTGGCGGGTTGTCGTTGATGTCTGCCAGTTTGACTTGCACCTGTTGGGCATACATTAGAGAACTATACAACATGTAACACAGCACTGGAAACTACTATATTATTTTTCAAAGAAACTTATAACGGGGAATAAACAAAAACGGGAGTCTGAAATATTTGTATCATATCAAGCACTACGGTGGACTGGAAAAAATAATGGCAGAAGTCATTGTACCAGGAAGGAGTGATTGAAGCCAACCAACACGAAGATGGACACTTCATATAAGTGACTCTTTGGATAGGAAGTGTACTATTTATTTTGTTCTCAAGTTTTTTCAACGTGTGTCTTGTCCAAAGCCAGCGTCTTTTTTTCTTTCACCTCAGGAACCACTAGAATTTGCTTAGTTGTCTCCCAAAGCTCAACATTAGTGCTTCTATCATTGCACTGACTTCCCTCTATTCTGCGCAGGTTCCAGTTAATGCGTGTCTGTAGTTTATTAGTAACATATTTTAGTTGTTCTCCATGTTCCCGCTCCAGACGACAGCATCTACTGATCTACCATTAGAATAAACAATTTTAAGTTTAGTATTAGTTTTCAAATTTTTTTTTTTTTTACCTCCACAGACTTCCCAGTGCTATGAAAACTCATCTGAGTTGTTATATTTATATATATTAATATTTCTATCTATTATATTTTTTGTGTCCAGTTCCATAATCATGTAAAAATATTCAACGGGCAAGAAAACAGAATGGTAGTACAGAAAGACAAGAGTTAGATAGAGAAAAAGAGAGGGGGAGAGAGAGAGAGAGAGAGAGAGAGAGAGAGAGAGAGAGAGAGAGAGAGACAGACAGACAGACAGACAGACAGACAGACAGACAGACAGACAGACAGACAGACAGACAGACAGACAGACAGACAGACAGACAGACAGACAGACAGACAGACAGACAGACAGACAGACAGACAGACAGACAGACAGACAGACAGACAGACAGACAGACAGACAGACAGACAGACTGACAGACTGACAGAGAAAACAATACACATAAAAACAAACAAAGACACACACGAGCGAGCACATATACAGAGGGGAGGGGGAAACAAAGGGGTGTGGGGGGCATAAAAAAAACAACAACTGCCATAATCCAGAAATGCCAGGACATATGCTGTTCTCGTCCCAGATGTGCAGCCACCAGCGTCTCTTTCCTGCAGGCTCCCAATCAACCCAGTGTCCGGACATGCTCTGGCGAGAAATCTCTAAGCCCCAAACGCAGGGGAGTTGCTCCTCATAATGAATGCATAATCAAATAGCGTGAACTCATTTTACGTCCATGAAACGTCTATCAGACAGACAAAGGCCCCCAGCCAGGTATCATATTCATAATCGCGATCCCCCATAATAATATTATTGCTGGTGGATTGTCAACGTTGAGCTTCAATGCTTCCTTTGTTCATCTCCTGCTGTCAGCATTGATCATTCATTTCATTCTTTAAAAAATTTAATTATTTTGTGTGTTGTCTCTCTGTCAACCATTATTTGCAGACATTCTGTTATCACGAAGGTTTCATTCCCACGCTACGCCTGGATTCGCCAGTACTGCAGTCTGCATACAATTAGATTAACTCTTTAAATAAGTTCTGTGAACCACAAGGAAGATATAAAATGTAGATATTTTGTCAATATTTAGGTATCGGGGAAATGAGGTGTGTAACAGATACGCTATTTCACCCAAGCTAGTTGACGTAACAAATTATTGTTGTCAGATAAACCACCCATGACGTGTTCGTTGTCACACTGTATTGCAATGAGAAAGCAGACGCCTTGACTGACAGTGCCACTATTAGGAATTGGCCATCTATGGACAGGAGAGACATCATCGATGCTCTACGACAGACTAAACGCAGTGAAGCTTTCAGTTTTGTGGAAAATGATTTTTCTCCAAATAGACTGCATACCCTGGATGTGTAAGTTGGAACGGTGAGACGGGAAAGAAAATCATGCTGAGGCCACCCTTCGTTACATCAGCCAGAACAGAATCTGAGTTGCTGGCCTTAAAAACTCTTGGAAACATACTCAGGAGGAGATCGGAGCACTTATGGTCATGTCCGATGTGCGATGAAGATGATCTTTAAAATGAACAATGAACAATACTGCGCTACTGCGCTGACCTGAGACAAATCGTAGTTACAAGATAGCCATCTAAAGTGGTGACATATTCAGTTACATTATACTGTGCAAAAACTCTATCCATACGCCAGTGAAGCCTAGACAATTAACAAACAAGCTGAACAATATCTTGAGACCTCGGACATGTGGTTTAACAGAGAATCATTAGAATTCCTTGGACAGATAAAACGAGCAACCCAAATGTTTTGAAAGAGGCGAATGCTCGAAGATAAGTTATCACAAACATCAGACAGCCATCATTTTGTTATTTATATCATGAGAAGATGGAGAAATGAACATCTTCTCACCACTGGAAAGATCTGTGGAAAGAGAGACAGAGGAAGACAGCATGAGAAGATTCTTTAGAGCCATTTGTCATGGCATGGAGGAGTGTCAGCACACGAACTGATACACGCAACAGCAGATCGCAGATTGTGGAGAGGCTTGATCGCCCACGCCAGCCGACAAGGGACTTGATGATGATGAATACTCTATCCAAGAATATCAAAGTTACTGGACAGTTCTCTGAAGTGATAAGGTGCTCGCTGTTACTCGACACTGCGCTGATGTTCTGAGACAAACCATAGTTACAGTATATCCAGCCCTCAGACGTGCTGAGGTATTCCTTGTCACGTTATAGTTTTTGTCTGTCTATTGTCTGCCATTCTCTCTATATGCCTGAGTAATTTCAGCATATTAGCCCTCGTGATATCAGTGATCACAAGCTAGATGTTGTGACGGCCCTTTGGGAGCGAGTGAACAGTGTGGAGGTACAAATTGATCATTACGGTCTGAGGAGAATGGCGCTCTGAGGAGCTACCAGGGGATCTGACCGACGCTCAACACTCAAGGGAAAGGCGAGACTGATGTACAATCAGACAGTTACAGGTACCATCGGAATTGGAACTCTTCGCTTGCTACTGAAGATGGGGACGGAGCGCTTGTGGGAATGACCCAAGTGCTGTGATGTCGATTATTAATTCAACAACATTCAACATATCAGTGATCAGTTGTCATTTAAACTGACTAGGAATTTCGCTGCTGCTTCTGACTCTCCATTCTCCGATGTGTGCATCTGTGATGGGTCAAAACAGTCTTATGCTTCAATACTTTTCTCAATCAACATCACCATGTAGCAGGTTCTTCTGAGAACGTTGCTTTTATCATAGCATTCCGGAAAGTAATTGAGCCTCTTGACAGCTGTCCTACTGCGTGAACTTTAGCGCCCAGTGTGACCTTGACATCTATCGAACAAAATCATTCTGTTAACTCCATTCAGGAACCATATCCTCCATTGCTGTTTTATTTCCCATAAACCATTATAGCATGTAATATTGCTGAAGTATTTTAGTTTCCTCTTCACTGTAGCAGCAAACGGGTGGGAATGGAGGACTATTTCGCAGGCTCAAGAAAGAAATAGCTGAAATGCCATAGAAAGATTCCTATAATACCACGGGCCAAGAAGACATAAGATACTGACATTCTAAAAGACCTGAACTCCAAGCAAGACTGGCTAGTAAACCGCGTCCTGTTTCCCAAACAGAAATTCCTCGTGTGGGTTTCGGGGCCCCACTGTGGGGAAAACAAGAACAGACCAATTGCTTTGCCAACAAGCATGTCGTAGGAGTCGTCTAATTGGTGACTTGCTTCGAAGTTGAAGTACATCTGCCTGAGTGGCTAGGAAAAACCAATTGCACGCAAATAAGCCAGTCAAACGGATGTACACGCAAAACTCAGGTCCTGGCAAAAAGCCAAAGTCCAGATGGACGAACAGCCGGAGCTTACAGCCGGTGAACGAAGAAGAAGATGAAGGAAACTGAAATATTTTGACCATATCAAGCGCCATAGCTAACTGGGAAAAAAATAAAAGCCGAATGTATGCAACTAGGCAAGAGAGACATGGTCGATTCGCCCGAAGATGAGAACAGGAAATAAGTGACACACTGGGCAGGAAAGTGCACGAGGTGAGAGACGGCTACTTTCAGGTAAAAATGTGATATCTTTTGTGCTCAGCTGATTCTCTGTGTTCTGCAGGAGCATCAGTTTCAAAAGCCTCTAGGCTCTAGGCAAATATTTAACCATACACTACGTCTAGGACGAGAATAAGAGCTCGCCCAAGAAGATGGATTGACGACAAGGAGAAATTGTTTATTTGTTGGGAATAATAATTGACAGGGCCGGTCATCCATCGAACGCTAGACCGCCAACTAGTCCTTCGCGCGTCACCTAAAACAAAGTTGGGGCGACGGAACTATATATATCTGTCACTATATTGAGGAAACTGCAACAGCTAACTACTGTCAGAAGCAGCAACTTGCCACTATAAAAACAGTAACCCTGCTTATCTGTTATGTTAACCGGATTCAGGTTACACTTTACGACACTGAAGTGATGTGTTCTCTGAAAAAATGACTGGAATACTCACCAACGGAGAAAGGGAAATAGAAAAGATTAACACAGAAAGAACCGGACGTACTGCTTGAGGTTCTATCGACGCACTTCCCAGAATACCGGTGTACGTGGCACCGAGGTTGAAGGGCTTCAATGCTCACAACACTGAGCCAAATGAGCTATGCTCAAGTGAAACGGACACCATGACAAGAGAAAGTAATCCTGAACACACTTTTTGAGGTGTACGTGAGTAAAGCTCGGGTCGAAACGTGATAAAACGTCTGATGATGTTGATGATGATTACACGCCATAGGGGTGTTATCAACAGCCAACAACCATTTTCTAGCGTAGACTCCATTGCTCCTTTTAAAACAACGAATAGATTCGCTGTCCTAAAAAAGCAAGTCATAAAGGGCGACTAATTAGGAGACTGCTGAAAAGTGGTGTGTTGGCCCGAGAGACGCAGATATCGCAGCCTAGCTGTAAATCACAACATAACGTACCAACCGCCCGTTTAAGTACGAACGAACGAAGAAGTAGAAGAAGACACGACCATAGGCATCGCTTACTTACCGTAGTTGTGGCTGATAGTCTGCCTCCAACAATGGCAGCTTGATCTGTTGCCATGACGATAACGGTGTACACAGGAACCAACTCCCTGTCCAGCACGCTCGTGGTGTACAGGCTGCCGTTGATTGGTCCTATGGCAAAACTGTGCACGGAGTCACCGATGATACTGTACCGTACCTCACCACTCAACCCTGGAATACATAAGGAAACATATTCGTTGTTTATATGGACATGGCATTGAGCAAAACAAACACACATGTGTGGATGCATGTGTGTATGTGTGTGTGTGCATGTGCATTCCTCATATCACGTGTGTGTGTGTATGTGCTGCGCATTTATATTTCGCTTATTATCGAAAAGGCTTATCATGCTTGATATATAATTAAAATCGTAGTGCGAAAGACGTTTTGCCAGAAAAAAAAAAACAGTTGTACGACAAGCGTGTATGTGACCCTAGAAACGGAATCAACACACTGGTTGACTCACTGGTCAATCCCACGGAAAACGAGTTACAACTCCGAAGTAATCTTTTTTCGTCTGCCATCATCGCATTTACTCGCAGCTGATATGTAGTTTTTTAGAAAATCATTGACAAAAGAGGCAGGCGACTTCTAAACAGACTAAAATTATAAACTCAGTTTAAAACTGACTAGAGAAATCAGACACAAACAATAGTTTATTTCCATCCCCCACCCCCACCCCGGGCAGGTTATATAAAATAATTGACTCGAAAACCCGCTGACGACTAAAAAACTGGAAAGGTACAGAGATAAATATCCGGATCGTTTAGCCAATCAAGCCTGAGAGCATATTCTCAAGCGGCTGGCAGAGCGGTTAGAACGCTGGGCTTTCAAACAGGAGACCCAGGTTAGAATCCTCGGTAAGGCTGGGGATTTTGTTTTCTATCGGGGGCAAAATAAAATCATCACCTGCACAGTCGTGGCGACAGCACTAGCCATGCGGCCGTAAATCCTCAGGCTCAAAGACCCCTGCCCTTAACCGCAAAATAGGTAAAATGAAGGTGGCAATTGGCATATTCTCAACACTGACCTAATTCGTGATTCTGTTGATCTAGTAAGATGGCGAAATATGACAGCCTACGCTGATGGACGCGGAACATGATGCTGATGCTGATGATGATGATGATGATGATCCATCGCCATGAGCTCGTGTAGAGACTTTCAGGCCGACCCGAGAACAAATATACTTGTCCATATACCATGGACCCGAGATGGACACTTGTCCACGGAGCCGTGTCGTCGAGCGCTCACCTTTTCTTGTTCAAGACTGGAGGTGAAAATGTTTCTCACATTCCACATCTGGCCATCCCTGCGACCCCACTTGAGTTTGGAGCGGGACAGAACTAGCCCCCCCCCCCCCCCCCCTTTTTACACCCCCAAACAAGCATATTGTAAAAGGCGACTGATTCGGGGTACTGACTTCAATTCGAATGCATCAGCCTAAGAGGCGAGGAACCAACAGTATGCATATATATAAGCGGCATCTGTAAAAACTGATGTGCAGGCAGAAGTACGTTGTGGATTATGATCAAAGTACAGAATTGGCCGGTAAAGGCAAAGAAAAACAAGACATCCGATTTACGACCAGCTCAACTTACTGCCTGTTAGTTTGAACGGAATTTGATCTAAGTCGAGGAGACTCTGTGACCGCTATGTCTGTTAGTTTCAACGGAATTCGATCTAAGTCGAGGAGACTCTGTGTATACTATGTGCAGTTACAGTCGCTCAAAAATGTACTCCACTTAAAGTTGCTTTAAAATTCATATAACATACACCCACATACGCACGCACACACATTAACATACACACACATGTGTAAAACATGGGCTGTAAACGAAACATGGAATAACTAACGATTTATCAAAAGGCTCAAGAAACAAGAAGAGAACTTATCTAAAACGTCGTCGGTTGTACATTTTCATAAGCACTTTGACAAGCTGCCTGATGAATGACCTGGGATTAGAGACCAGTCATGTACAGGCATGTGGTGAAAAAATGCAACCAAGCGAGCCGGCCGGTGGTGGGAAAACGACACAGCAATACGTTTGGTATGTGTCCCCGTCTGACAAGGCCCCTTCGATAAGGCTCTTAGAGAATGTGACACATTCTCCCAGCATGAGTCAGTTCAGGTCGTGTGTGTGACGGGAATGGAGATCTGTGTTTGGCGTCCCATGTTCTCTGTTTGTTGTAGCCTGCACGTTCTAAGACGGGGGCCCTGGGTCAGGTCGCGTGCTCACACCGGATACACAGGGCCTTTTGCGGATGTGGTACACCTTTGCTCAAACAAACGGCTTTGAAGTGCACACATACGGGACCGGAGAAAAGTGGGCAGCCGCGGGTTGGTGAGCCCCTTTATAAATAATGCGCGTGTCTCTCTATAATTATTAATTTAGTCTCTCTGGCTATAATTGGACGGATGGTTGTTCCTCATCAACAAATATCAGCATCTGCAACGTCATCATCATCTTCCTAGCAGTCATTGACACCCCCTTCCCCTCCCCATCTTTGCCCTATATACTGATCCTCTTTATTATCATTATCATCATCACCACTATCACTGCTACCAACACATACTCCTTCTATTCCATTTCCTAGTATCCTCCTACTCTTCTTCTTCTTTTTCTACTACTACCACTACTACTACTACTACTACTACTACTACTACTACTACTACTACTACTACTACTACTACTACTACTACTACTACTACTTGTTCTTCTTTTGTTACTTCATACTTTTGTTTCTTTGTCTCCCTTCCTCCTCCTCGAAAAACTCATTATCATAATTGTCTACACTCTGTTCTCCATGTTTGCCCACGAGCTTCCCCCCCCCCTCCGTTGCTCGACTCTATGTATGCCCACGCCCCCCCCCCCCCCCCCGTTGCTCCACTCTATGTATGCCCACGGCTCTTTATATTTAATTCACTTCACAGAGTATTATTGATTCTCTATACGTGATTACTGTCGGGGACAATCTACCAAGGAAATGCGGCGCTAGCGAAATCTATATGCAGCATCTGAATAGGAATACAACTAATCAACGTACGACCAACAGATAAACCAGAGTAATACTGGGATTATGGTTGTGTGGATAATGAACGTCAGCTGTCAATGCACTGTCATGTATGCACAAGGATGTGACTGGCAACACGGTTTAAGTATTTAGTTTTGAGATATATCGCCTTTCTGAAATTATAACTACAGGCTTACATTTAAACTGTAAGAAATGCTATATTTCAAATGACTTACTTACTGAGAATAATTTTATTTAACAATAATAATAATAAAAACAACAAATGTTGTAATAAATAATTCAGGGGAAAATAAGTAATACGTTGTAGGTTAGACTACGGGGATCGCTGGAACATAAGCTAAATAATAGGCAGATACAGATAAAGAAGAAGTAAAGTAGACGACCACAACGACAAAGAAGAAGAAGAAGAAGAAGAAGAAGAAGAAGAAGAAGAAGAAGAAGAAGAAGGGGGAGGATGAGGAAGGGAGGCTACTGAATAACAGCAGCAGAGGACAGACACGAAGACGATCCAGCCTAGGTAAAGGGTACCTGCAATTTTTCAGAACTGAAGGCAGAGACCCCTGATTGTGACCACGTGGCCCATCCAATACCGTTTCGTGGAGATAACGTGAGTCCAGCACTATATACCAAACATGGCAGGGTCGCACGGGAGTGGGTTGTTAACCTTTCTACAGCGTGGGTCGAACACCGCTACCTCTTTACACAAAGATAAGATATGATGGGTGGCCTCGATGGGAGAATGAAGATGTCAGGCTAAAGGTCATCAGAGATCGCCCGGGGAAAGGTAAATTGATAGCAGGGTTTCAGACACATGAAACAAAACTCGATTTGTTTAGCTCTCACAATACCTAACAACGCAGTATGCGTGACTAGCTATTGAGTATGTATGCTAAACAACGTGTGATAAGATCTGATACGTGCTATAGAAATATGACCCTTTGTCTTCTTCTTTTTTCCTTCTCCTCCACCTCTTCTTCTTCTTCTGCATTTGCCCTATATATGTACACGCACGCACACACACACATATACATATAGTATACATACATACACATATACATATAAACACAGTCGGCGTCTGTGGCTTAGTCCTTGCGAACGCGCTTCGTGATGTCGGGATGCCGGGTTCGATCGTAGCTGTGGGGATTAGGCAGCAGACCGTCCTGCGTTTGTTCTGACAGTGGTAACTAGAGCTGACCGTCCAGGAGGCAGTGGCAAACTAAGTTAGTTGCGTATCCTTTACAGGGCATTGCAGAACCAACCCCAGAATTTTTTGCTGTTGTGGTTTTTCTAGGCAAATTACGTCCAGTAGTTTGCCATAGTGGCCAACTACTTAGGGTAAAATTTGCCTAGAAAAACTAGAACATCCAAACAATGATGGGGTTTGGTTCTGCAAAGTTCTGTATAGGATATGAAACTAACTTATATGTATGTATTTTTGTGTGTGTGTGTGTGTGTGTGTGTGTGTGTGTGTGTATATACACACATATATATATAGACTGGCACAGGCTGTCCCATTAAAAGCTATGCACTCACGCTTTCTTCACCATTACCATTGCGCCCCCACTCCTTTTTTCCCCACAAACACACACACACACAAACACACACACACACACACACACACACACACACACAATTTCCGCTGCTACTTCAGGAATCACACAGGAAACCATTGAGGAACACAAATAAAACAAAAATTGAAACAACAACAAAATGTTGGGGTAATGGTCTGACCAGCGAACCGTGAACAATGATTGCCTGAAATCTGTTTCATTTTCCGCGACTGCTGTTTGTGTTGCGATCAATAGCATTAATTTATTCCCTGTACTTGACGTCATGTTTGCAGTACCGGGTTCCCACTGCCCCATAAGTGAGTGCAAGTCAATGATGTAGAGCAGGAGCTTGCTTTCAAAGCGACCTGGGATGGGTTTTATCTCCAGTCAAGCTGGTACTTGTGTCACATCCCAAGTAATTACCAGATCCAGCCATTCAAGACAATTATTATTGTAGAGATTATAGGAGAATGATGATTTAATAATGATGATAACGATGATGATGACGACGACGGTGATGATGATAACGATGATGATGACGACGACAAGGATGATAACAATAACGATGATGACGACGATGATGATGAT